TTGTTTTGGCTGATTATGTTCAAATTTTAAATATTCATTATACATCATGTCATAGATAAACAGATATATTGGTTCGACGATCATATTCAAAATGGCCGAATGGTTCTCATTTTTGTGCTAAAAAATCATCAAATATCAAGCATTTCTGGCATTTATGGATGGATTTTGTTCAAACTTATAACACACGTTAGACATTACAGGTTCCTGATGCATGTCATTTTATTTTTCAGATTGGATTCAAAATAGCTGACTGGTGGCCATTTTGTTTTTAATGATTGGGCTTCTAGAGCCATATCTCTTAAATGCTTTGACTGATTATATTCAAATTTTATATATTCGTTATACATCATGTTATATATATGTATGTATATATATATATATATATATATATATATATATATATATATATACATGTATTCAAAATGGCTGATTTTGCATGCTGTTCCAGAGCAATATCTCTCAATATGGACAATTACTTGTTTGACGATCAGATACAAATGTTAATCATTTTAATGTTAAAAAAATCATATTCCTGATATGGTTATATTCCAGCTATATTACTATGAACATAACTATATATCTTAAATTTGATAACTAACGGGGACTGTGCCATGCATGGCTTGTTTACATGATATTATGCATCCAGAAGTGAACATGGGAAGTGTAAAGGAATACGTAATACCTACTCTATTTACTCCGACTTAAAAACGTGTGTGAAGACCTTATGCTGGTACATGTACAATGTATGAAGGGGTTTAAACCCTTTGGCACAACATCAACAACTATGTATTTTGAAAAGAGTGTTGTAAGTGCATCATGTTCAAAACTGAATTTGATTGATACAGTCTGTTTTTACGTTTATTGTAACATGTAGGTTGGCTCGCAATGTACTGGTATATGTATGTCAAATTCTAAAGCAGATTTGTAGATCTATCACTGTAAAATCTGTATGAAGAAGTAGTAACTTCTATTAAAATGGTATAATGCAACAATGGGGCTTCTATTTGAGCATCTACACTTACATTTATGAGAAATGATGAATGTTTGGTTCTCAGTTAGAATGAATGGGTGCGACTTCTATTGAGGATGCAACCCCTAATACAGTACTGAGTTGTTGCTTTTGTGCGCATTATCCAATGCATAAATGGAAATGATCTGAACTTGGTCTCATAACTTAACTGACACAGGAAAAATAGAATGCTGAATAAAAGAAAATGTTTTCCTGAAAA